TTAATACAAGAATTATGAAATAATGGTTACAAAACAATTAAATAATGTTGGAACAATTGGTGATGTTTGATTATAATCAAATTAGGAAAAGACGATGGTAATGGATAGGACATACATTACGGAAATCATCAAACTGCATCACGAGGCAAGCTGTAACTTGGAATCCTGAATGGAAACGGAAAAGAGGAAGACCAGAGAACACACTACCTCGGTAATCGGAAGCAGACACGAAAAAAGATAACTAGCAACTAGAACCAGCTGAGAAGGATTTCTCAGGACAGAGTTGGTTGGTGAATGCTGGTGGACAGCCCATGCTGCTCGACGAGGGGTAGCAAGCCGAAGTATTTAAGTAATGTCGATAGGAAGATTAAATCGTTTATGGTCTTAGTCTCAACAATTAATCACTCTGAAAAGTTTTATTAAGAAATTACGTATTAATTCTTAAAATATTGGGGACGCAAGTTGCTCAATATATATAGTTAAATTGATACATATATATAAGAAGGCGCAAAAATCATCATTTCCACTCATCTCCATCGGGCGCATGAAAAACAATAACTGTGGATTCCACTGATTGAAAGCTCTATAAGCTGTTTCATTATATCGTCAGATTAGCATATCGACCACGAATATTCTTCTTCCGAACTATTACCATTTTCACAGTTGGATTCATGAGTCGACCCAAGCTAGCTCAATGTTGAAAATATGGATGAAATGGACGAACATTTCGTCCTAGTGTGGGACTCCTCAGAAGTGCGCATCCCGGTCCTGTATACAGGAATCGAACCCAGGGTCTTTGGTCTCGTGCGCGAATCTCTAAATTATAAACCACTGAGCCGGTATCCAACGTTGTCAATGTTTAACTTCAATCAATCCATGATCTTGCACAACACTTCTTCCATTGTCTGATCTGGATAACTGTCTCACATTTAAGACTGACTGAACTTCACTGGTCGCGGCTTCTCACTAGAACTCTAGGAGTTCCCATTTTGTAAAAAAACAACCATTATAAAAAAGAACAATTCTTTTTATAGAAATTATCGTTAGATTCTACAATTATAAGTACAAGTTAACACTCGAAAGTGATAGCTAAGTTTGAAACAGATCAAACTGCTGAAACACATGAATTATAAACTGTTAGTACAACAGAATAAAAAATCTGTGTTGAATGTTTATACTTTGTGTAGTACACTACAAAATACGTGCTAGTACTCTATATATCAGTAAAATCAACCTATCTTTTTCACAAATAGTCTCATTTCATGTAGTCCAGAAGATTTATTTTAAAGTCTTATACTTTGTCATGTTTATTGGATAAGTACACACATCCTCAATACAAATGTCAAGACAGTTCTACTGTATGGAGCGGAAAGTCGGAGAATTACAAAAGCCATCATCCAGAAGATACAAGTGTTTATTAATAGTTGCCTACGCAGAATACATCAGATCCGTTGGACAAACACTATCAGCAACAACCTACTATGGGAGAGAACAAACCAGATCTCAGCGGAGGAAGAAATCAGGAAAAAGAGCTGGAAGTGGATAAGACACACATTGAAGAAAGCACCCAACTGCGTCACAAGGCAAGACCTCACATGGAATCCTCAAGGCCAAAGGAGGAGAAGAAGACCAAGGAATACATTACACCGAGAAATGGAGATAGACATGAGAAGAATGAATAACAATACGATAGAACTAGAAAAGAAGGCCCAAAACAGAGTGTGTTGGAGAATTCTAGTCGGCGGTCTATGCTTCATTGGGAGTAACAAGCGTAAGTATGCAAGTAAGTAAGTAAGTAAGTAAGTAAGTAAGTAAGTAACTTACATCCTCATTGGTTTGAACGATATATTTTGAATATGTGATTACTTTTCTTATCATTACTAATGTATTTCAAATGCAATTTCATTTGAACCTTCATATATGTTTTGTTTTTTCGAAATTTTACGCATCAATTTTTATGAAGTAGTTACACAAGATAATAAATTGAACTCAGTTCGATTATAAGTGATACTGAAGGACGCAAACTTCCATAGAAATTAATAATCAACTAACTATTGCTTTTAAATTATTACTATTATATTTGAATGAAGTAAACAAATGTTTGCTGAATATCAAGTTTAAAAATGTTGTATTGCTTGTTTGAATCTTCCAAATGATGTTTAGGAATTCAATTGACCAGTTTCTTATTAGCATATAAGCATCTTGTGTAGATTGTCTCCATATTACTTTCAGTCAAAATCATTTTAAGCAAAGATGAATAATGGTTATCAGTAGAATCCAGGACGCTCGTTTTCTTCTGTTCGGGACTTGTCATATCATCAATGGGAAGATTCAAACAACCAATACAAAAATGATTTAAATCTTCAAATTGCATAGGTTAGTGACTTTTAAAATTTGGTAGGTAAGTGGATAAGTCGATGGCGTTTGAATCGAATGGTACTGGGTCTCAGAGTGAACATCAACTTTGGGATGCAAGTGCATCTAGTTGACGAGTCCGAAACAGGGCGGAACGCGCGTCCTGGACTCTACTGCTAGCCACCATTCATCTTTGCTTATAATGCTTGTCGTACATTAAAATGAAAACCTTGTTAGATGATCATTAGAATGGATAATGTAAGAAAATATATGAATAGATCTTCGTAAACATTCTGCAAGCTTAAATACTAGTATATTAAGCCAAGCATCAGTTCGATTTTGATACTTATACGTATGCTACCTATAAGCAATGCTAACCCGTTAGTTGAGTGAGAAGATAAAGACAGAATAAGAAGCTGTATTGGCAATCGAATCAAAGATACATGCTAACTCGTTAGTATATTTGTGTGTCCAGTGTATAATTGAGCCAAATCTCAGACAGAAGTTTTCATCCATGACAACACTCATCTACCATTTGACTCTTCCCCAGCTTGTGAACACAATGATGTGATCTGACGGCATTGACCCAGATGATCCCCTCTTTAACCTGAAGATTTGGTCTTCACAAATTGTTGAATAATAAGCAGTGGCAAATATAATCTATTTCAAGTCCTTTTTATTGCTATAAACTATATCCAACTACCTTATAAGTCAGTATTCCTTCTGAAGTCTATATACAAAGATTGAGGTAAGGGATATGTTAAGTTCTGATAAAGCACATTTATAATAATGTAACTAGTAAAGCGTATTTCAGTTCAGAAGTTAATGAACAATTTTTCAAGGGAAAACAATCAAGTCGTGTGCATTCTAAATTCTTAAAGTAAATAGATATTAGGAGTATTTCATTAATGGAATCTAAAACTATGGTAACTTGTTGAACAACAAAGAGATCTTTAGGTCATTGATCTTCAGTTTAAAACCATCCAGAAAGGCAATATATTGAAGATGATTGAAATATCAATTAAAGATTCAATATTACTGATTGAAATTATGAGTCAATTGAAACTAGATCACCATGGAAAACCCGGAAGCACTGGATGGCCGTTTCGTCCTAGTATGGGACTCCTCAACAGTGCGCACCAACGATCCCGCACCCCGTGGTATTCGACCCCAGGACCTGTCAGTCTCGCGTCAGGCGCCTAACTAACTAGACCATTGAGCCAGCATCCAAGATGTGGTAATGTCTAACTTCAACTAATCCACGAATTTGCGCCACCGTACACCATTGTCTTCAGTGAGCTGATATCTCACAACAGACCTGATTGAACACCACTGGTAACGGCTTCTCACTAAAACTCCGGGAGTATCTCTTGAAGTCAGTCACTAGTGAGCAGATGATTATTATCTCCACAAAACCCTTCTGATTCAATATTAGTTAGATATTCCGTTGTAATTTAATTTAGATTATATGAAACTTCATTTTGGTAAAATTATTCAATGAATTGTTCACTTTCAATATACATGTTCATGAGGATATTTATAAAAGACCACACCTTTGTAACAAGTTCCTAGTAACAACTATTACTATTGATATCTATGGTAATATCTAATATATTTTTTTAGTAGATTATTTACTTGGTAATTCATACTCAACTTTATTGTTCGACCTACCTTAACTTGGAAGTTAAATAATTAACGAGTAATATTTAGGATAAACTCGTGCATGACTATATGTTACCAATGGTATAGCTACACTTTTGAATAGTTATTTGACATAAATGTTGATTTATTTTGAGTATAGAATTCAGTAGTATAGGATGGGGGAGTTAAATGTTATGTTGAACTTTTGTCTTGTTGGGGACGTTAGATCCCCAGAACTCACTTGAGAAAGGACCTAATTTTGTAATTTTATTCTGAAAATTTGAATTTCTCACTTCAAAGGCGCTCTTGTCACCTTCATGTCTTATTTCCCACTGGGAAATATCTTAAACGCTATGGGTCCGTTGCGTCTTTTAGTATGCTATTTGGTAATTCTCCCCAAAGACGGTTTTGTACTGTATATATACGTTTTGAATTGCGTTTGTTGTTATCGCTCGTTTCTAGATGTTTGCAGAATATACTTCTCCATTCCAAGCTTGGACTTCTCCCTCTAGTTAGCGGGGCTGGACGCATCAATAGCTAGCTTACTACTCTTTGGTCATCAAGTCTTTGTTCTCGTTCGCAGATTAAGTGAACTCGTGATAGCTTCAACCCCAGCATGTCTAAATAAACTGACAACTGATGAAGGTTTGTTTTCTTTTTCACTTACATAGAATGACAGATACATTTTAACTACATCGTTGCTTAATCATAGATGATTTCATTCAAATATTGAGATGTGTATATACAAGCATCTACGCTATTAAAGACAATCTGAAGTAGTCACATACACTAGGTCTACATTCTCTACTTCACCGTAGATTTTATAGTCAATGTAATATCGTTACTATTTTTTAAAATACTTTAACACTAATCCATAGCTATAGTTGACTACATCTAAGTTACTGAGGTTTCAAGTCATTTATACTAAATCATCTCTTAATAAAGACTTACACTAGCAATCGATTACTAGAAATCAGTTATTGTTTTAGAAAAGAACAAAAATGTTGTCTCTATTTAAATAATGTTTATATTTTCATTTAAAACATACAACATGGTTATACACAGAACAGTGACATATTAAATGTTTTGGGTAATTTTTAGTTTTCACTGAATACAAATACATGTTTTTGTTATTATTCCTTGTAGCATATTTGAATTGGCAAATCCACTCCATGAACTGATAAGTGTAGGCCAGTTTGGTTTTGGTATTTGTTTTGATATGTCTGGTTTACGAGTTGGTATGGTTCCAGGACGTCTAGTAGTTTCAGGACGTCTAGTAGTTCTGGGACGTTTAGTAGTACTTGGACGTCTAGTAGTTTTCGGACGTTTAGTAGTAACTGGACGTCTAGTAGGTTTAGGACGTCTAGTAGTTACAGCATAACACTCATCTTGTGATTTTGCTTCGTAAGGATAACGACCTTCATAGTTTCCTCTAAAATACAAAATAATATACAATGGAATGTATCAATTGAATTTTTCTTTTTAAAATTTAATGACTAGAAACATCTTTATATTACTATTATAATACTTAGTAGAATAAAATTATAGTACAATAATTAGTATTAATTATTCATATTTATTTACCCTGGGCCATAATTACAGACAACTGATAATCCATATGGAAATCCATAATTCCCAGTACAATTTGTAATACCACAACCAACATGAGTAGTATTTTGCCATACTAACTAAAATATTAAAAAAATTTGAACTGATAATTTAAAGGTAATTTGTTTAAATAGACAATTATATATTAGTATCAGAAGGGGTTTTGTGGAGATTGTAGTAATTCCATTAGTTAAGATCATGAATCAATTGAAGCTAGACCACCATGGAAAACTTGGAAGCACTGTACGGTGGTTTTGTTCTATTGTAGGACCCCTCGCGACGTTGAGTTCATCCGGGTCAGTTGTGAGATAGTAACTCACTGATGACAATGATGGATGTGTCGCTCATTTTCGTGGATTAGTTGAAGTTAGACATTAACACCATTGGATGCTGACCCAGTGGTCTTGAGGTTAAGCACTTGCACATGAGACTGATAGGTCCTGAGTTGGAATGTCGTGAGACGGGATCGTGGATGCAGGCTGCCAAGGAGGAGTCCCACAATAGGACGAAACGACTGTCCAGTGTTTCCAGGTTTTCCATGCTGTTCTAGCTTCAATTGACTCATGATCTCAACTATTGAAATTACATATAACTTATATGAAATGTTAAATAAAGAACAACCAGTGAGAAAATAAAATTTGATATTGACAACAAATATATTTATCGTTGACGATGTCCCAACTCGTGTTAATGTAACTTTCGATAAAAATTAAACATATGGATAGATGTAACATTAAACATCTGTCTTTAATAATAATAATGAGAAGATAAGAATAAAGAATAATAAGGAAAACTTCAGCTGTATCTATTTAAGATCTAACTAGGACTGAGACAATGTCATTAGCATGATCACTATAATACTAATCATTTACTTCATTAATTTCAATGAATAAATGAAATAGAATTTAAGTGTAGTAAGACTCAAATTGTTTTAAAAGTAATTACTCTATATATAGTATGGTATCAGTCAGTCAGTCAGTAACATCATAGAACTTCGTACGTTCGAACATCAGTTCGAATTGCCATATCACATTAGCACAGAGATGCAGTTGTCGATTCAAATTCCATAGTGGTAGAGGTAATAAGAGTATAAGCAGTAATCGGAAACATTAGGGTTTGAAGATGTTATTCAAGGAGTATAATACAGTGAAATAAATTTGGAAAGAGAAAAAGGGACATGAAGAATTCTGGAGATTAGAATTTGGGAGGACAAAAGAGTGTATGCACCTGCATCATTGCAAACGATTTGAGCCATGTCATTCAGGGTCTCTAACCATCGGTTGCTATCATCTCGCGGTCTCCAACCAGGTAGTCTACACCTACCAACATGGCTCAGTCCACTTGTCAGTGACTTCATGGATTCGTGCCATGTTTTGGTCTGACTGCCCCTACCTTTCTTCCAACCTACTCCTATGACATTGAGCATAGCATAGTATAGTATAGTGGTTAATTAATATTACAGCAATCTCATTAGTACTTTAGTAAACTAAATATTAAGTTATTTCATAATAAAAATACCAAGTAAAATGTATTACGTCATCATGAATGTTAGTTTATTTGTATTAATTTACTTGAGTATAATGTCCACAAACACCATAACAACTCATTGAATAATAACTATACTGTTTATATTCATCTTTCCATGCATCGAATGCTCTAAAATAAGATTAAGAGGAATTAAGAAAAGAATAGTAATAATGATAATGTTAGTTACTGTTCAACTGTTTGATATCCTGCTATATTTTGACCAACATATTCCCATTTATGCGGTAAATTCACATCATTATGATGAAAATAACATTCATTTGCTAAATCTTTAGCTTTTGAAGCTAGTTCATTATCCCATTTCTATTTTACATGTAACATATAATAGATCATGTTACATAAACTTACAAGATCTGGCAGATATTTCGCTGGAGGTTGTCCTTCAAATTTACATTCTGTTAAATTACGTCTAAGATCATTATGATATTGTAGAAGTTTTCGAAGTTGTGGATCATTTGGTTGTGAGAAGACAATGTTTACTTTTATATAAACTAATAATAATAATAATAAGATATTCATTTTATCTCTGAGAAGTATGGATAACAGACAATTTATAGAATCTTTTGGAGATAAAAAACAAAAAAAACAAAACAAAAAAACCACAACAACCGTACTGTTATGATGTGATTTGGCACATTATGCATTTTCATTTCAGCCTATGTATATGAAATGACAGTTCTCTTTCTATTAAAATGATTGTTTGTTCACTATAAGTAGAATAATTTATGTAGCGTTTTAGGTTGTGGTTTTTTTTGTGCAATCCATGTTGAAATCAAACATGTGGTTCTTTCAACGTAAAGTTTTTATCGTTTTAATTGAATTATTTAGTTTATTCATATAATTGTATAACACTTGTTACTCCTCGTCAAGGAGCATAAGCGGCCAACCATTATTCTCCATCCAACATTAAACTGGGAAATCTTTTCCAGTTGGTTTCAATGTTATTTATCTTTCTGATGTCTGCTATGGTGGCGTAGAGAGATGAGATGGTGGTTGGAGGTAGTCACAGGAAACCCTGGACCCAGGTCTTGTGCTACTTGTAATCTTGAAGGAACTGGTTCGATCCCGTGTTACCCAGCTTCACAGTCAGAGACCTTACCACTGAGCTATTCGGGCAGTGACCGACTTCCTGTAGGACTGAGGTGTAATCACAATTCATTGATCACGGGTGGTGATCAATGTCATGTGTGTCAAGTCCTGGGTTCAGGGTTTTGCTGTTGACTACCTTCAACCACCATCTTATAACAACATAGTACACGTAGTCTCGAGTCACCTAGACTAGTGGCCACATTGCAACTTGATCGACGGCTTTCGATCTGCACTGACAAGGACTTGACACACATGACATTGATCACCACTCAGTGATCAATCAATTGTGGTGGTGGCCCAAAATTTCACTCTAAGTAGATCATTTGCTGCTTGTTATCAAGTTATCGAAATATACATTTCACCATTCCTTACAAATAATTATTGACTTAACTCGGCATAGTCTGTTATTTGATCGTCCTCTTATTTGTTTCCCTTCAGGATTTCAAGTTATCGCTTGACTCTTGAAGCAGCTAAAGGATTTCCTCAATTTACGACGTATTTTCCTAATTTCCTTTTCAGCTGCCACTTGGTATTTTAAAAGTTCAGATCTCATCTTTTGAAATAGTTTCCACCAACTGGATATTTATGTTTGTCTGTTTCTTTACCTAGTCAATAACATTATCATAGCCTCTACAAATATTATCACTGAAAGAAGATCAGACTAGTTTTCAGCTCCATATGGATGAAGACTTAAGGCAATGTAAGAATCAATGATACTCTATCCATATTAGTTTTATTTGTTTATTTTCACCTCATAGACTGATTTTATTTACAAAACCAGTGGAACCCAACATGCACTACTTACCATTTTCGTTTCACTATGGGTACCTTAATGGTCATGATTTCATTTGGAATGGAATCTAGGACGTTAAGATAGTGCACTGGGCATTTAACCTTTAGATAAATGTGCTGTGTACCAACTATTCACATATTTGACTTCCGTTGATTTGAGATTTTGTATTCATCCAGTCTCAAATATATTTTGTCAGTAAATCTCTAAGATAATTTGAAATTATTTCCACATGGGTAATTTATTCAAAGTATCAGTCATTTATTATAGTTACAGCATAGCTAAATATCCTATGTATCCACAGTCTCATTGTTTTTAACACAAATAATATGGACAAGTGCATGACACATTGATACATTCAATAATTTTATTTACCTTATCGTTCATCCTTTGCATCTTCTACATTATTTTTATCTATGTAGAATGTCACATTATGTGTCTACTATGCATATTGTTGACACTGTAATGTGTTTTGAATTCAGTTCTAGGTGGATGATTTTAATGGAGCTGTTGTTTACTTTTACATTTACTGATTGCTTGCTCAATCTTCCATCAACAAATACAGTTAAGTTAAGTTAAGTTTTAGTGGCCCATTGATCTGACTCCTATTTAGAGAGTATGAATGATTGTAATCGCCTTTTCTCCTATATCATCGTCAACTTGAATCGCGTTATCCAATAACGGAATTAAATAAGTCGAATAACGAGAATTGACTTGTGAATACATATATTTCGTACATGAAGCGAATGAAGCATAGCAAAGCAAAAATGACGCGCAGGGAAGATGGTTGGGAAGCCAACTCCATTTTAGTCAAGCGTTACTCAATATTTATAGTCAGACAAAATAAAGCTACAGACATGTGATTAATAGGATAAGAAGGGCACACACATATACGCTCATATAAAAACAGTCTAGATTGATAAGCGAATAAATAACAAGGTCAAAGTATGTCTCGAGTAGAATGAATAGAATGGGATGTCCGAAAGCTCGAATAAGGTATATGGGCTTGGCATAATAACTGACACTACAAAGTAAATGAAATAAATAACTGTATTGGAACCTGATTCTTTCTCTCCTCATTCATTCGAAATGAATGAATTCTTAGTACACACATAACTATTGTCTATGTTCAGTAGTGTTACAATACATCATTCTACATGTGAAGCTGTTCAATCTAACTGACTCTATGAAAATCACATCAACACAGTACTGCAATGACACGTCTTCGTAATTTCCGATATTCTGTATTGAAAACTAAATCAAATAACATCTATCCTGGTGTAGTCTGCATTTAACCACTTTTCCGCCGCTGATCATTTGTTCATAACAAATTTTTCAGTAGTTGAGATCATGAGTCAATTGAAGCTAGACCTATATGAAAAAATTGTAAGCCCTGGAGTGCCGCTTTATCCCATTGGTGGAACTCCATAGCAGCACATATACACGACCCCACCTCACGGGATTCGGACGCATGGCCAGTCATAACCGAAAATCCATAATCTCACAAACAAAAATGTCGTAAATTTGACATAGACAGTAGGAGAATTTAGTTGAAATATATTGTATGCTAAGGATTTACTGTTGAATTACATGTTTAATATTGAATGAAGTGAGTATTGTGACAAGTTACATTGATAAGCTGAATAAACATGAAATCCAATCAACAACACACAATACACATACAAAGATGAAATAATCAACACATAATAAACGTATTCATTAAATGTATCATTCCAATGACACTTGCCAACATCGTTTCTCACTCACCACATGAATTGCAAAACACAAAGCAATATGATTTGAATGAAATATATTCAATTATAAGTTATAAGTTATGACTAATTGCTACACACATACATATAGTTGAGTAATATCAACACAAAATAGTCCTGCATATCAATGGAAGTAAGTAATGGGTATATATTGAGAGGAAGTTTTGGGTTACAGAAGTGAAAACAAAGTTGAACACAGATATGTGTAATACATATGGAGGCACCAATTATATTTGCCGATTAAATTCAATCATTTTCAGTATCGTACTATTCTATAATTACGTTGTCCTTGTACATCGGCAAGACCACTTCCACCAAGAACGTCCTTTGAAAACGTGTGTAGACCTTTCTTTCCAGATATCCATTTACGCTGTGTATTGCGATGACGATATTCAAAACTATTTATAGAAGTAGGTTGACCTTGTATGCGTCGGTCGTGAACCCTACTTCCACTTGAACCGGTCGTTGACAACTTGTGGTTGACATTCACTAATGATAATGGTGCACGCTGTGTATTATCACGCGTCGTTTGAAAACTGCCTTTAGGAATATTCTGCATTTTTGGGCACAATTCACGTGATTTCACTTCATACGGTTTCTCATTATTCCAATTACCACTAAAACAGTCAACACAATATAAAACATCAGTTACATTCACTATGAGAACAACGACAAGGTGATTGCAAACAATAAAATCTCTTCACACATGATCGAGAGCAATCACTTACCCTGGACCATAATTACACACGATTGATAGACCGTACTTTGGACAACTCGCAACTCCACATCCAATGTCTGTGGTCTTGGCCCAAACGATCTGAAACGGAACGTGAACAAGGAAATAATGTGATCGTTCGGTAGGCCAATTGCAAGGCATTTCCACTATGCTTCAACCTGATGTGAGTAAATACATTACATGTAGACGATGGAGATAATGTTGTCAACTGAAGGAGATACACGTGGAAATTCCAGTATGTGTTGAATTAGTAAGTTTACACATGGTGCAGTTATGATAACTAGTTGAATTCTGCAGAACACTCACTCACTCACTCAACCAATCACTTACTCACTCACACACTCAATCCATCAATCAATCAATCAGTCAATCAGTCACTCTCTCTCACTCTCCCACTCATTCTGTCTCATGTCAACCAACAGTCGAAATAATTTCATACATCACAACATCGTCATCTTCCATCTATACACAATGAACTTCTGTTGAGTAGATTGCAATATTGTGTTTGTGTGTTCACACTAGTGTTGACACTAGTGTTGACACATTGATTAGGATTTGAATGCACTCGTCAGTCTTAGTACATGCTGGTCAGAGACAAATTTCCTATCTGTTGTTTTCCACCGAATCACCTCAACTCTCAACAAAACACACATACTCAAATATGATCAAGTGTTGTGGATACCTGTGTGCATAACTGCAATGATCGGATTACGTGTATTTACATGTGTTTTTCAGTCACTCCTGTAGAAAAGTGAAACCACTTGATTGTTATCACACATTCGTGGTGCATTATAATAGGTGTGAATGGTGAGTGGCAAATGACTGTGGGTATATTGAACTATGTTGAAGTGGATGACAATGGACTTACTTGTGTGTAATGCATACATTTCATACAGTTGTTTTGATTGTAGTCGTACAATTTGTGCTCATTGAACCAAGCATCTACTCCTCTGAATCAGAAAACAGTGAATTGAATAGAAATGAGCTTACGACTTAATGGTTGGACAGAGAGCAATATTTTGTCCAACCCAACGGAAGTCATCCGAATAACGTTTGTTGTGTTGCAAGGTGCAATTGATCGCCAATTTTTGTGCTTGTGCAGCCAGATTGTAATTCCATTTCTACAAATAAGCGTTACAT